GTGGTGATACTAAAAGATAAATGCAGGCAGCTATTTGGGGGAAAACTTAAAGATGCAGAGTTCCCTACTATATAGAGTAGGGTTTTGTCCAAAGTGTCAGTTTGATGTAGCTGTTGAATAAAACTGAATCTATCTTCTTTTAACTCTGCTGTTTAAGCCATCTTTTTAGTTATTTAAAATAACTTGTTTGACTTATGTATGTATATTCTTGATGTCACGGTTGGCGGTTATAACAAGGAGTGGAGAATCCAAATGCAGGAACAGGACCTAACGGGCTAGATTTAGTTACACAAAGAACAAAATGTGCAGCCAGAGCTGCTATTCCACAGAAGTTTAACCCTCAAAACGAAGGGGAACTGAACTCAACCACAAAACATGGCAACGGAAGCACAACGAACACAGAGATGGCATACAGGCTCTAACAAAGAAAGAGTGGACTGGAGAAGCCTCAATATTGGAGGAGAGAGTGAGTAGTGGATACAGGACAGGTGTGACAGGGAGCAAAGCTGAAAGGAAATAAGTTGGTGAGAGGAAGACGAATGACAGTCAAGTTAGCAGAAACACAGCCAATCATAGGACGGAAACCAGAAGAAGACACAGAAAGACAAGAAAGAGATGGAACTTAAATAGACTTGGAACGAGGAAACAATGTCAAACATCCATCCATCTGTTTTCTATCCAGTGGTTGTGCTAACCACGACATGGTTCTTGGCTGACATGAATCAGCGATTCTTAATCGTTTTACATGTTTCTCTTTTAGTTTCCATCCGTTATGGGAGGGAAAAATTCCAAACCTGAAGGTAAGATCCATTTCTGCTGAAAAACAAAAGCTGTTTACCTTCCTCTGTAAAACCTTTTATTTTTTAAACAGAACAAAAACAGCGCACAAACACAAAAACCCAGAACTTCTGAATTGCTGGCAACAATGCATGTAATAAATATTTATAATTGGTGAATATTTCACTTAATTATGTATCTTGTTCCACAATGCAGATGAATTCATGTCAAATGCTACTTATTTTTCTGATTATAGGATAAGGATAAGGGTGATAATTTAAAGTCAGGGATCAATAAAATACATCTTTATTTTATCTTATTAAGCCCAGTTAAGCGTAAGTGTACCCAAAAGTCCAACCAATCGTTACACACCAACCAGCAGGTTTGAAGGTTGTTTCTATGAAAACCCGGAGCTCCTTGAAGCCGCTTCAGCAATGGAGGTGCGGAGTCTGGCCCACTCGGATTAAAAAATGTCATGGGCACTCCTGCTCGGTGCCTCTCACCAGAGGAACTCTAGAATAGAGCAGTGTCTAACCCAACTGGAGAAGAAGACTGGTTCCAGAACCAGAGCTGAGCATCGAGGCGAGTCTGGTTATTTCTAGCTGGAACCTCTCAGCATCACACACCAACTCGGGCTCCATCCACCCCAGAGATGTGACGTTCCACATCCCAAATCCAGCCTCTATAGCCGACGATTGGTCGACCAAGGTCTCTGACTCAGCAGCCACAACTACAATATGGCAGCAGACCCCCATGTGTCCTTTTCAGGCTGAGCAAAGACAACACAAAGAGCTGCTGCACAGCTGGTGGGAATGGGAGTACAGGAGGATC